GAACACTTGCTCCTAGCGGCAAAGAGAATCGGAAAACAGCGTGCTGGTATAATGGCTGGCCTCACACAGACCCTGGATAAGCAGCGAGAGGAATCAACATCAACCGTTGTTGCTACCCCCAAGACACCAAAGCGCATGACAGCTGTTCCCCCTGGGCCAGGGTACGTCTATCTCAATAGTCCTATGCGCCCAGGTGCTGTCCCCGTGCTTGTTCCAGCATATTCACACCACCTGCTACAAACTCCGAGCTCTTCTAAGACAGCAGCTTCAGCGTCTTCCTCTACCCACCAACAGAAGAAGCAGCAAGGTGCGCGTAACCAGAACCCACCAACGCCTTTGGACTCTCTTTTGAGTGCAGCAAGGTCAATGATGGATAATGATGAAGATGAGGAAGAGACCGTCACTGGCACAAGGCGTTCGCGATCAAGCGACATCCCTGATAGTCCTGTACCGAAACGCAGGAAAATCGTTGCCCGAGACAAGGTTAGTGCGCTCAGAGATCAAGCAAGAGATCAAGGTGCAGGACAACCGAGTAGTAGCTCAGCTGGCTCCAATTCGACTGCTGTTGGCAGGGTTAGATCAGGGCTAGACGTACTAGCTGACCAAGCTGCCGTATTCTCTTCGCAAGATCAGCAGAGTCATTTGGAACCTCGCTCACTGCCCAAGGGCAAAGGGAAAGAAAAGGCTCCCAGTATTCCTGATAAATCCCTCGACAATCAGCTGAGAGAGAAAAGCAGGTCAAAAAAGAAGCAATCCGTACCTGACGTTGCGCCCCAGCCTCCTCGGTCCCGTCGTCCCTCGTCTTTACCTCGAGCAAATGCAGTTGACTGGGGTTCTGGGCCGCCAAATCTACACCCAGTCCAATGGTCCGATGGACCTACACAAGTTTCGTCCGGAGACCCCGGTTCTGCTCGTGAAATCGCGACCGCCTCAACGCCTTCCCCCACTCAGCCTATGACAATATCCCCTACCCCTCCTCCGCGACCCGAGTCGGCTGATCAGGTGAGGCATGATCCTCCTAGCAATGGGGCTACACCACCACCAATACCTCCTGCCGAGCCCACTCCCGATCCTAGTGTGAATGCGCCCCCCAGTCAGTCCGCACTCGTTGATCCATTCCTTGTGCCTCTTTCTCCTCGGGAAAGTTCCCTAATTACAGAAACTGTGGCCCCAACATCTGTACTACACCAACGGGCAGTCACAACCCCGATCAGTAGTAGTTGGGGAGATGCACCGTCGGATTTGCAAGCACATCTGCGACACGAGACAGCTCCTGGAAAGACTGACGCAGGAAGTGCTGATTCGATCGCTGATAATACCGAACCGAGTTCTAGTCCCGGAACCGGAATAGAATCTGTGGCGATCACGAAGAACAAGGAGGTCACCAGGGTTGTAGGCCAAGATGTCCCAAAGAGGCAGCGAAGTCCTTACGTCAAGTGGAGCAAGGAGGAGGATGATCTACTTGCTCAGGTCGGTATTTTGTGATTATACAGCAGCCAGATTCTTGACACATTTTAACAGGCTGTCGCCAAATACGGACAGAAGTGGGACTTGGTCCAGAAAGCGTTACCATCAAGGGGATATCACCAAGTCCGGCAGCGATGGCTCCGCAAGCTAGGTACGTTGTAGAACATTCATTATTTGCTCTCAAAGCTTACCCAACTTTAGGGGTCTTTGACAGTAAACCAGACCTGTCTGCCTTCCAAACCGGTAGTTTCCCATCTGGCTCACGTTTAGGAGAGACGCCAGGATCACCCGTTCCGGCCGAGCCTCCTCCAAATCCGAAGCTGGGACTTGCTCCGCTGAGCAGTGAACTTGCTTTTTCGTCGTTTTTATCTGGGAGAGGGGAGAGTCGACCGTCGTAGCAAGATTGTTGCTGTCCTGGTAATGGTGAGAGTATTGTATCTTACTGTTTATTACTAGTAGCACCAGTCGCCGGTCATAGTGTAATCGTTGCGTGGGTATTATGTATGTAGCAGCTGCTTGATTTTTTTTCGGATTGTAATGAAGAATACGACACTTACCAAAATCGGGGGGTGACCGGCTAGTTTCTTGTGAATCCTAGATAGGAAAGTTTGTCCTTGTTCTTTCTGCTTGTTATCCAAAATGCCTTGTCCCGAATCAGTCACTGCTAGTAGTCGAGCGTTCATAATCGCAGCCCTTGATTAAACCTGGGACCTTACCTATCTGATTCTGAAGTGCAGGTAACACAAAGACCTATATGGACCTACGATGGCAGCATGTACTTGTCCGTGCTGTCAGATCGTTGTCCTGGCTACAAACACTATCATGAAATGTTCCCTGGACCTTCTGCAAATAACAGCATCACTTGTAGTGTGCTGTCAATGAAACAGATCTGGTGCTTATGATAAGCACCAGATCTGTTCCATGGCAAGCTCACTGACCCCAGGCAAACAAACGCCTTCAGACAATGACTACTCTCGACACACAAAATGACACCACCTCCTTCTCACTCCCGTTCAGGTTTGTTCCGACTGACATATCCGCCGCTCGAACTGAGTGGAATAGACTTGCGAATAACATTCCTGCTCTTGAGGAAAGATCTTCTGACAAGGACGAACACTTGGCGCCATCAGATGGTGCCTCCGTGGCTCCATTTGCATCGACCTTTAGTCAAACTGGTACAGGAGTTGGTAAAGGACCAGAACGCTCCTCTGTCAAAACCAGCCCTCAAAGAGGTATCGTAAGGGAGGCTACCTCAACCACAGATACTATGACCCGAAGAGCAAAACTGAACGAGGAATGGACCACACATCCCGATATGGTAACAAGAACAGTCGTCGGTCCCCCCGAGTTTTTCTACTCCAAGGACAGCTCCTTCTATTTCTCTGAGACACGGTAAGACTGCCACAAACTCTACGTATCTGTGACTGATTGGGGCCACAGTGCACTGCCCAAATTCTGGACTAAATACGTTCACTTCAGTGGCAAAGTTTACTTCTATCATCGTCGCTTCAATTTGGTCACACCGAATGACATACGGGAGCCTTTGATACTTCAAAACATCGAGCGCATCCGAAAGAAGGAGATAAGCAAGTTTATCAAAGTCGCTGATCCAAAGGAACTCCCATCTTGTGAACATATAGTGACGCTTCCGCGGCTTGATTCGTCCGACGCCGCAGATATCTACCATGTTGCCATCAATTCAAGACGTGCTCTGCGCATGGATGGGGACGATGGTATGTAATCAATGAGAACCACGTGAATTCGATCTCATTTTCTTGTAGTAGTGGAACAAGCCAAGGAACTTTTCTGGAAGCATCTTGAATCGTACCCCATGCATAATCCCTTCTTGCCATGGGATTACGAAGTCGAATTTTTGAATGCCATCACGTTCGGCGCCAATGGTTCGTTTTTGTCATTTCCTGCGGTACATGCGCTGATTTTTCCCACTCAGAAAGGATCCGCGATTTCAGAAACACGCCATTCCCATTTGTTGATCGTCAATGTGAACGCTTTCTTCGAATATACTAGGATTTGAAAGGTAGCTCTATCGTCTTCTGGTTGGTGATGCATCAGAATTAATTATTAATGCCGTGATATAGATAGACAGGAATCGACAGAAAACGCTGTCATTCCGGCCATCGTATGGCATATCGCCAGAGTAATGACAGAAGTTGAGAAATCTCGCATGCGGTATCACTGGGGCATACCTGAAGACCGAATATATCGGAATGTAGCTATTCCGGAGTCCTCGTTCCAGGAGATTATCCGACCTTGCCACTATTTGGGGCTCATTCCATGTATCGGACGCGGCTACAAGGGACAAGAGTCAAAGGGGCCGTTTACCTCCCCGATTTTCGGAGGTTGATGCAACAGTTCCTTGATGAATGGGCAGGTAAGCGCCGTCCATCTTGCAACATTCTCTTCGCTCAACATGACGACAGACTCCAATTTGCTTGTAAGGCTTGCCATCGAGCGGCAGTAGACATGTCTAACTTGCATACATTCAACCACAGGCGACTGTTTTTGTCAGTGCCAACGTAGCATTCCTGGCCGTTCCTGTAAGCAATACAACCCAATATGTGTACCATCAACTGATAAATTTATTCGTCTAGGGGATCGATGCGCTACAAAAAACTGCTTCACTTGCATCATCATTGTTCGCTATGATGAGCATCACTGTCGGGGTGCACCATGTGTGGCGACACCGCGGCAAGGTGGATGCGCTCTACCAGGATGCAGCAAGTGTCATATCCAATTCAATATTATTGATGGATTATTGATTCGATCTCAGGAGTCGTACCTGTACCATGTCCGACGCCTGGGTGGACACGTTGACTTGACCATTACTGCTTGTTTTCTCTCATTTCCAGTAGTGTCACTTCTGTGGTCTGTCCTCTGCTTTACCATCGCAATCGCCGCCTTCTGCATCCAAGGCACCAACATACGCAGTAAAATCATACTTGTGACTCTATTGAGTCTTCTTGGATTCTTTGCTTCCGTCACACTGCTCTTTTTCTGGCATATCTGGCGAAGTCCCCGGCAAAATAAAATCGAGGAAGATTTCAACATGGATACCAGATTAAATGTTGACCCACCCAAGGGGCTGTCAAAAGTGGAGATGGCAGTGAAAAACTTGATCAAGTCTTTGAAGACGTGCAAAAGTGGGCAGCGTAGAGAGAAGGGTAAGAACATAGAACAGGCAACGCGGGATGGAGTATCGAACAATATGTCTTGACACATGTATGCTCAGTCTTCCTTGGTGGCACGCTGTGAGCAGAACAAGTGATTCCAAACTTTTTACCAGAGTCCGCATGGATTTTCTTGTTTCGTCTCCTAGTACTCACCCTTTACTCACAGGTTACGTCCGTATACGAGTGCTAGCGAAGTAAAGTACGACAGATAGTCAATTCCTCCGATCCTACATCAACAATTACTTAAGTTCTCGAGTTTCATAGAAGACACGAAATAAGAGTCCAGATCCAGTACGTCCATGTGAATTCATATGATGAAAACCTTTTTCCGGTGTCCACCGTTCACACAATGTTCACCGTCGCGTTGCGATATTCAAGGAACGGATATGGAGCCGCCTATAAAATCAGCCTTAGACTGCGAATGAAGATAAAAACGGAAGATCTCGTACCCCAAGGAGACACAAGTGCGTAAGTGTAAAGATAGCAGGACCCTCTGCAAGGTAAGACGGGATAGTGACGGTAAAGTTCTGGTAGAAACCGCCAGGAGGGTGGTTCTCAGGTGTCCAGGAACCTGCATAGAGAACAGATCCTAACGCCTCTGCAGGATCGGGGCACGAGCCGTTCACGCAGTCATCGATTGCTAAGGCAATGCCAACCTGAATGCAAGATGCCAAGGATTCCTATAGGCACCTGTCAGAGTGACGCATGATACTGAGAAACAAACGAACTACCAACCGGTTGAATGGCTTGAACGACTACTTCTTGACCGGGACAGAAGTTGTCCCCATTCTGGGGGAACCCTAGCTCGATTGTCTGAGCCAAGGTAGCAGAAATCCCTACGGCAAAGACAGCTATGTACTTGAAGAGCATGTTAACGGGAAGTTGAGTGTGGGGGTTAAGGCGCTTTCTAGGTCTTGCTTGCATGTCAAATAAGTTGGGCAACTTTATACCCAAGGTGGCATTGTCTACGGCGGTATTGAGTTTCAAATGATACATGCACTGCGTCGTGAATTATGTAAATCATCATTGCACGGTTTCAATAACTTTGACATAGGTGGATTTAAAGAAATGTACCTACATAATGTCGATCCACGGTCAGAATATTTTGGGAAACAGCCATAATTGTGACGAAGCATGACCATATCAATGTTTCAGATCAGCCATGAGATGGGTGAAGGAGCACTGCATTTCGGAAATTCACCCCTAATCATGTCAAGTCCAATACATACCGTTGACATTCAATCCCACACGTCGGTAACTTGTTGCCGCCAGTTGCCACTGAAGCAGTGAGGTTACTGAAGCTTGTACATACACCGCCCGTTCATACGCTCAGGCTAGCGGTGATGTGAGGCCGGACAGCTTGACGTCCTCGATCGATAGTAACTAGAGATTTCTCCAGCGCAAATGCTTGACGCAAGTGCGCGGGTACCTAGGTTAGTCAGGGCCCTAGGCTGTTGCGGTAGAATTCAATCTCGTATGGCTGCATTTGCTTTACGTCCACCTACTAGATCAGCCGCAGAGCATACCTTTGGTAAACAAAAGCAAGTCATTGCACAAAGAGGGCGGAATTCCCATCACTGCTGCAGTAGAATAGCATGGCAGCAGCAATGAGGAAGCGAGCCATGTTCACTCCACTCTGGACTTGGTGCACAAGAAGGGACACAGAGACAACGACGTACGCCAAACACAGTCATCAATGTAGCCCCAAGCGTAGCCAGTACTTCCGATCTGGGATATGTGCATATGTTCCTGAGCAAGGATTTGATTCCAGTGATAGGGACTGGAAACCATAGATATTACATATATACTGGTGGTTACATAATTATGTAATTCAAACTTCAACTTGAGTAGTAGACTACAGCCCCGTACATTCCGAATTCGCCCCATGTGCCTTGCACGAGTCTTGCAAGTCCCAGCTTGCAGCCGTATCGTACTTTGTATGTATCCAGGTGTACATGATGTTACAATATTGTCAGAATGAAGTAGCGACGATTCAAGATGCCTGCGAAGAAAGCAAACGATTTAACAAATCATCCAACGACTCGCCCGGAGCCGGAGCCGAATAGTACATTTTGTCGAGATTGTTCATACAATATTCAAACAAGTCGTCCGGTACCGAATCGTCAGTTTTGTCAAGACTGTTGACAAACGCCAACTGCTCGCCCGAAGCCGAATCAGCAGTTCCTTCAAAATTGTTGACAGCCTCTTCCAACTGCTCGCCCGAAGTCGATTCGGCGGCCTTGTTAATAATGCTGAAAAACTCGTTCACCTGCTCGTCCCAAGCCGAATCGACAGTTTTATCAAGACTGTTGACAGGCTCTTGCAACGGCTCGCCCGGAGTGAAATCGGTAGTTTCTTCAAAATTGTTGGAAAAATATTCGAACGGCTGGCTTGAAGTCGGACCTTCGCAAGGTCTTTGAGAGACCTCGTTGGCCTCTTGTTGGTTCTTGGAACAAGAGCGGCTTATATTCGAAGGGTCCACGCGACTGACACTAGTCGGAATTTATATATCAGCCTTTAAGTCACATCCGAAAGCACTACAGTACTCACGCTTCGTTACGTACTGGTGATTGGAACCGAACACCGGCTTTCTGGTGCCTCTTCGATCTGATATGGCCTTGAATACCAGCTTGTCGCACTGCAGCTGCGTTTTCGCACTGCGGCAGGCAGCATTTGTAACGGGCCTCGCCGTTACTTTCTACCAGTTCCTGATGAAACAACCATCAGAATGATAGCGAGAGCTATACAAAAAAATGGACTCACAAAATCTGGATGGTAAAGAAGGGCATGGACCATTTGCTTCTTTTGTGGGGGAGCATCATCATCATCCAAGTCCACCGCCTTGCGCTTTCCGCGCTTGACAACGCTTTCCTCAGCGGCGGCTACTGGTGCTGGCTTCTCCGGTGCTTGCTGCTCCGGTACTCGCTGCTCTGGTACTTGCTCCAAATGTTGGTTGTAGGAGGGTTGCGCCAAGGGGGGTGCGGAAGGATAGCTAGGCTGCTCAGCCGCCGGCGGTACACCCATACTCTGGACGGCAGGGGGATACCCACCCAAATTGTAGGGAGGGGCCTGGTATGACGCTCCGCAGAATGGGTGAACCCCGTGCATATATTGTTGATATACATATGTGTAGACCTCCGGGGGATAAGGTGCGAGACGTGAGGGGACTGGTGGAGGGTGAGGCATGGGAGGGTAAGGATGAAACTCATGTTGAGGCGGGCCTGGGATCGACCATTGGCCTGTTTGAGCTGGCTGCTGCTGTTGCATTTCAATTATCTGAGATGGTTAAGGCGGACTGCAGACGGCGGTACGCTCTAGCTTGTGGCAGGATAAGATGAGCGACAGAAGGGGAAGTAAGTGTAGAAGAGTAACTCACAGTACACAAGTTAGATGATAGACGTGGAGGGCAAAATGCGATGGACTGTGAAGAGGAGGAACGAGACACAAGTAGCAGAATTTAAACTGTTAAAGAACCCGCTATGAGTGGATGAAGCGTTGTGGACCACAAATTGTTACCCAAGTTAAACAGCACGAATACAAAGGAATGCGTCCACTGACTTTAATTCTGTCCACAGACAATAGTATAACACATAGGCCACCCGGATATTCCCCGATACGGCTGTGGAGATGTTCAATTAGGTCGAGAGGAGTACCATTTATTCACAAACATTGAACACGACGCGTCGGATCTTATTGATTGTAGAACAGTCCCCCCTCGGCTGGGTATGTTCTTCGTGTATATGTACTCCAGACGTTACCGACAGACTTGATATTACCATCCGAAATTGCTTACTCGAGATCTATCGACAAAATCCATTAATATAAATATATGAGATCACATAGTTGTTGATACTAACGATATAGATATGTGGCGGGAACAGTCCACAAGAGTCCACAAGGATCTCGGATGTGAACTCCACACCTTAGCAACCCATGCAAACCTTCCCTACTCTTACAGAATAGCGAGTTATTGTGCTCTTGACTGAGCACCCCATATTACAGTATCTCCACCTCCACAAGCGATCTGCGTCCAGTGGAACATATCAGGTTACGTCAATACCCTATACGAGAGAAAGTAACAGACGTACCATTAAGTTAAGCGCGACGAGAAACCCAGTCTTATGAATCACCTCCAAGATGTAGTGTCCTGTAAGGCCACCGCGCACCTGCGGGATTTTGGGGAGTGCTGGTCATTGACTTCATATCTGACGAGTTGGAATAAATTCATGTAGGAAGACATCGTCTGCCTGTCGTAGACTTGGCCATTCCTACAACGGATCGAAGTGTTTGTAGCTGCAAGTCTCAATGAAACGGGACAAACGATGTATAAAGGATCTGCACAAGCAAATGTGCTTATTTCACGCATATAGTGAGTGCCTGCAGCGTCAGATATCTGACTCGGGATACGTGGTAAATTGTGCGCATTTTCGTGACCTTCAAAACACATTTCCATCAGAAGGTATTTTCGGTGCGCATTGTGTCATCAAAAGCGTGCAAACCATATAACTGACTCCATCCCACTAAAACCACTGATTGTCAATAATCAACTCAAAATGCTTACTGGTGCTCCCGCGTTAGGCGCAAAACTCGGATCGAGTGTGTCGACGTCAAGGCTCAGGTGAATGCGCCAATTGACATAGTCGAGTGCCACTTTGACTACCTTGTAGATGCCTAGTACGTCACCGAGTCAGCGTCTGCGCCCCTCCATACGAAAGCCAACGCACCAATCAACCTCGTAGATACTAAAAGTGTTGCTTCCGAAATATAGCCTTGTCCACGTTCCGCAACTCGATGAAGGCGAGAACCAGTCAAACTTCGCAAGAACGAAGTCTGGAGATGGACGAAGGGTCGATATTGAGAAGTTCGAGGGGCATTCCGTGTATGTATCTACTCTGGGTAGACTGAACTGTATTTATATATCAGCGTGGGTGTCTATTCAGATGACTATTCTCTGTGGTCGAATATCAGCTCTGTGGAAGGAGTATCGTCTAAACGGAAAGACTCACCAAGGTGAATGAGATAGTGCCTGTGGCTGGCCATGAATTAGATGCATGGTTTTAGCGACTCATAACGTCCTCGTTGACCAAGACGAAAATCAGTGTTCCTTCAGGGTACTAACTTACAAGGGCTGCATGATGTTGCATCGGGGAGGGGATGTGCTGGACTACCATGTACATATGGATAGAATAGTTGTTGAACCGTCTGATATCACACCTTGGGATCACCAACAAATTTTTCGAACAGTTCATGTGAGATTCATAGTGGAGACGGATGAGCCGGCGATGACTTGTGCAGTGAGGGTGAGTTGCAGACGTGAGACGTCTACACTTTGTTTCTTCAAACTCCGACAAGTACTCGACCTCATCTATTCACATGACAATGAGAGCGTTTATCTTGTGCGGCGTAAGCAGTGACCATGAGGTCGAAACTTGCAATTATCTGGCCACTCCCAAACTCACTTTCCAGCGATTTTGTAAGACTGATAAACTCTATAGCCAACTATGGAAGAGACTTCCATTTAAATTCCATCTCGTTTTCCCCACCATAGATGGCATTTTCGATACGACCCACGCGATGCAGACATTCCAGCGCTTCTTGCTTACGAATGTGCAACACCGAGCCTTTCTGCAGACAAGAACTGCGTACCTGAAGTGCGACAAGGGAAAGTAGAGTCTCTCGCACTGCAAGGTAGTTGTGAGGGTGCGCGAAGGGGTAAGCTCTACATCAACTAAAAGGACATCCTTGACCACCAGCCCCCAAGCGCTGTTCACTGCAGCGTTGACTCCCAGCGTGAAGCATTAGGCACCACAAAACTCTGGAAATGCCCTACTCAAGAATGAACGACTACCTTCATTCGTCTGTGCTTCATC